CACACACGGTGCAGCAGTGGGAACCACTAATCCTGGAGGTGTGAGTCACCATGCCGTCCAGAATGAACAAATTCATCTCCATCTGCACCCGGAACGGACCGAACGCCTGGTTTCCTGTAAGGTTAGCGGCTGTGTGGTGTCCGCTCAGTCAAATCAGGCCCCCTCTTCCTGCCATATTATCACTGCCCCCCCCCCACCCCACTGAATAACATCAATAATTACTGTAGTAACTATTATCACTATGGCCACTAAAAATGCTTTAACCCAGAATAAGCTAATAGGGTTGATGGGTCGTTATCACACAGCAAGACATACTCACACACTCATAAACAGCACACGGAGGCCAGCTATTTCAGTATAATTATATTATATCATATTTTATATAATTAGAAGTCAATGTAGTACCTGAAGCTCTAATCACACAGAGAGGACGACAGTGTCCCCCTGAACACACGGTCCCAACACAGAGAAAGAGAGAGAGAGACGGAGAGGGGAAAAGGCACAAGGAAATCTCAGCGTGAGGATGAAACGCAGGCACGGAGCGGGCGGCCAGGTGTCCGGCACTCGGGCCTGCGGACTCAGAGCGATTGGCACAGGCTGGGGGGCACGCAGGGCCGGGACACAAAGGCACGAGTACGTCTCCGAAGCGCAAAGTAAAACGACAGCGAGGACGGGGACAGACGGCTGAAAGGAGGGTAAATAATACAAAGGCACACAAAAAATGAAAAGAGCAGGGGATACGAGAGATACGTGAACAGTAAACAACATAACAAAGGCGTTTTAGAACAAAATATAATGCTATTATTGAGGACATTATCATAATTATTAATAACCTATGTCTCTTGAATAACATTCTCTCCCTCCTCCTCTTCCTTCCTGCTCGTTCTCCCCCCAATTCACCAGCACAGTAAGAGACAGAGAGAGGTATACAGGTATGTGATCCCCTTATCTTAGAGTTTCTCCTTCCAAAGTTTGTCTTGTCCTGCAATGCTAACAGACGTGTGCGTTTGCACACACACAGACAATTGCATAAATACACAGTGTTGTTAATAAACTGTTGGATCTGGGTTAGTGTGTAAACATCTTCCTCTCTAGCCAGTACAACTGAACTTCATTATTAGTGCTATTACTGCTTATGGGCCCCCGGTTAGCAGTGCGACTTTAGTGTTTTATCTGGAAAGCTATTCTCTACGTTCTCTCTCTGTCTCTCTCTCTTTCTCCCCTCCTCCTGCTGTCTCACAGCATCCCTTAGGATACATATTTTAATAGTGTTAGTACCTCCTTTACGCCCTCAGTCTTTTACACAAAGAAAAATACTGGTTGTCGATGGCTGTTGGTCGCCTCCCGCTTGTTGCCTAGCTGTCAGAAGAAGGAGTACTGGTTGTCGATGGCTCTGGCTCTGCCGGCCTCCCTCTCCTCACTGTCCTCCAGCTGCCGCAGGGCGGCCTCCCTCTCCCGATCCCTCTCTCTCTCCTCACAGTCCTCCGTCCCTCCGCTCACCGCCACAGCCCCCGGTCCGGCGGTCTCCGCCTCATCTCGCCGCTCCTGAGGTGGGGTAGGGGGTGGTGGCCGACCAGGGGGTGGGGGAGGGGGTGGTGGTTGTGGGGGGCTACGGGGTCTGCTGGTCAAGTCTGTACAGAGAAAGAAAAAGCGAGCGAGAGAGAGAGAGAGAGAAGCCGTAATAAAGACATAACACCTGGCGTAGTAATGAAAAAGTAGGGAGAGATTTAAAAAAGAAACTGGACCAAAATAATGGGGAATCCAGAGCAGGAAATGACTGAGAAAGCAAGAGGATGAAGGCTATGGCCTGATAGAATGTGGCAGGCGGGAGGGAGGGAGAGAGCCGTGCTTTCAGTAGCCGGCAGAGCTACACACAGGCCGTACCCTCCTGTGTGGCTAAGCTTTTTTGCGGGCCGTGTCAACGGTGAAATAAGCAAACGTGAAAAGCACAAGTGTGACGAAGCACATTTACCGGCTTCCAACTAGAGTCGCGTGCCAGGGGGCCCCCTCAGGTGCAGCGCTCCAGGACCTGGCTGGCTCGTGGAGTGGTGCCCGGCCTACCTGTCATCACTACCTCACTTCCTGTCTCTGTCAGCTATGGGTGACTGTGCTTTAATGGGAATATGAGGTAAGGGCAGCAACTGCTACCGTCTTATGGCAGAAAGCGGAGCTCTGTGGGAAAACACCACTGCTGCTTCTGTCGAGAATAACATGCGTATGAAATGAAGGAGAAGTGCAGGCCGTCAGCAGTCTATGGTGATTGGATGGTCTGTCTCCCCACTCGCACACTATGCTTAATGATCACAGCCCTCCTCTTCTCTTCTTCCTCTCTGTCAGCCACTTTGATCATCTCCTGCTTTGTCTCACACTCTACCTTACCTGCCTACTGCTCTTGGCACCATTTGTCTTTCTTCACTAATTTCCTCTCTCACTTTTGGTTTTATTATGAATATTACTATCACTATTAATTCAGGGTCAGAGTTGCTGTATATTTTATTGGAGTCATGCAGAGTCAGCTATAAGGGTCCGATAGCAGGGGGCCACATATGACAGTGAAGCTGCCTGGGCCCCTTGCCTCATCTTCTGTGCTGAACCCCAGCTCTCCGGCTGCATTTCTCAATCTCTCCACATCTCCAGCCTATCAATCCCATAAGCCCCTGCTCCCTTTTGTCCCTGTACCACTCTATTGTCCTCTCCTCTTGCCCTCCTCTTGTTGTGTCTGGTCTCACTTACACACAGTCAGAGATGGGGGTTGATGGAGAATCGGGGTGGCGCGGGGTGATGACATCACAGACTGTGGGCCTGCTGCCTGCCCTGTCCCGGCCTGCGAAGATGACCCAACGACAAACAACAACAGAGACAGCCAATCAGAGCTCTGAAATGCGTGGGGGCAGGGTAAGGGGCTAAGGGGAAGATGGCAGCTCCTAAGCTGTTAGGGGTGAGGACTGAGAGGGCAAGCCAAACGAAATCCAACAGGAAGCATGAGAAGGACCATCATGCTGACAGGGCGATTCTAGTGAGGTCAGCCTGCTACCTTGTGCAGCCTAATACAGGTGCAGCAACAGCTATAGCATAGACACATCAAAGAAGAAGCTTAGCAACTCAGCAACGATTACAAAGATTCACACAGCACACTAGCGAGATCAAAAGAAACACTGGAACAGGACATAGAGGCTGGGCGTGACCTCCACTCAATGTGTGTCAGTGTGACTCGCCAAGTGCACAACTGCAAAGCATGATGGGACTGAGGAAACATGTCGGTGCCATAGGTAAGACAGACGATGGCATTTACATGGGCTGATCCAGCTGCCAAAGGTCTGATGGGATGGCCTCACACAATTTACCTTCACACAGCCCTATTGTTGAGTCTGGGGTTTTCGCCCTTTTATAAGTGCGCTGCTCCCTGAGACATGGAATGGATTGAGCCATGTCCTCTCTCTTGGGCCACTAAATAAAACACCTCTTTACCTGGCTGCCGTATAGCGGTGGCCCCCACAAAGCTGATGAGTGTGACATCAGAGGCCCCCCCAGACTCCAAGGGGATGGGGTGGACCCGGAAGTGCTCCAGCATGTCAAAGATGGACTGGAACCAGAGGTGCTGGACCCGACACTGGCCGTCCTCGTTCAGGGAGAGACGCAGGTGCTGGGGGCGGAGAGGGTCATCAGGAATTTTGCGGGATATCAAGCACAGGGTAAACGCATGCACGGTGATGTCATGCATTTGAAGACTACAGCTCCCATGAGCCTCAGCTCCTCCAGCTCACCTTGGCTTTGCCCTGGAAGTTGAAGGTGAGGACGTACTCTCCACGGCGGGTCTCACTCTGCCGTACCAGGAACACGCCGTGGCTGGCGGGGCCACCCGCCAGGACTAGCTGGGCCGCCCGCAGCCGGGACAGGGTACCATGGAACCACTGGCACTCACTGAGCGGATGCTCCAGGGTCTCTGGGGTGGGCGCTGCCACGTCCGAGAAAAGGAAGGAGCCTGAGGACGGACAAGATGACAGCATCACTTTACTAGGGATGGAAGTTGTCCTTACTGCTCACGATTGCCTGTTTAAAGGGTCCCTCTCTAATCTCAGCATATATGTGTAACTGAATGAGAAGTATTAATAGATGAGACCTTTTTCTAATGTAGCTATGGCACCAGAAAGCTATGTATTTGATATCAATGTAAAGTAGCTAGAGAAGCCGCTTATTTTTACCTGTAGCATCAGGCGTCTCAGCAAATGGAGTGCCCAGGTTGGCCCCTCCCCCACCCAGAAGCCGGCTCTCCGATTCATCGAGAGGGGCACGTGGGGGCAGTTCTGGGGGGAGGGGCTCCAGGACTGGGGATGAACCACCAACTCCCCTATAACATACTGACACGATGTACACGCGGTCAGCGTCATGCAGCTCACAGCAATTACAGTAAACACAACGTCAGTACTTAAACGGACTCAATATCAAAATAATGCAATTAAGAGGACGAAGGTAAGCGGAGGCCCACTACTACTCAGCCTTGGTGCCTGACCTTGCGAGAGGCGGTCATTGAACTCAGGAGTCCCGCTGATCTCCGTCTGGACAGGTGCACACGTGCCTTCCATGTCCTCCTGCTCACTGGGGGGGATGGGGGAGGAATGAGATCTCGGTCAAACCAGTAGTCCTGGTCAGTCCCGCACCTCCCCAAGAGGAGGCGCTATACTCGTTCCAGCTGCGGCCCGTGCTCACCGAGGCACCCTCACCTCAGGCTAATGCCATTTCTGATGTCAGTCAGCCAGGCCTTCATCTGGCCTGCGTCCCGGGTCTCCACCATGTAGTGTACGGCATCCTCTACCTGTGGGGGCAGAGCTGCACTAGCACCACGTCTCTGACATCATTGCCGCGCCAGAGCCGAGGCAAGGTGCCCTCATAGAGAGGTCCCTACCTGCAGCAGAAACGTGTTCTCCTTGTCAGGCACCTCCAGGGCAGTGGTACTCCTCACATCCAGAATGGAGGAGCAGGGAACAGTCACCCTGGGCTTCGAGGCCTTGGGTGGGTGGGCGGGGGGGGGGACAGCAGAGAGGAGACGAAACTTTTTTCAGTGTGGCAGGATGTAAAATTTCTTAGGTGTAGCCGAGACAGGAGAAAGCAAAGCTGAACAAAAAAGGATGGATTCACAGTTCAGCACAGTGATAATGATGCCGCAGAGTCTCCTCATACTTGCCTTTGGAGGAATGAAAAACTCCAGGAAATACTCCTCCCCTCGCTCGCCTCCGTCCTTCTCCCACTCCCTCAGGACCAGGCGGCACTTCTGCCAGCGCCCAGCCCGCCAGCCCGCCCCCAGGGACAGCCCCGTGCCGGCTTGGGTGGCGCCGGACACCTCGGACCCGTGGTGCAGGTGGTGCAGTGCAAAGGAGAAGCCGGCAAAGCCATGGCCGCTGGGGGCGGACAGCTCATCAGAGGAGGAACTGACGTTGACACCGCCCTCCCGCACCAGCCGGCCTGCTTTCTTGGGCCCCCCGGGCGCTGGCGTAGCTGTCGACAGAGAGGACGACGTGGGCAGCGGTGGTGGCGGCGGTGAACGGGACAGCCGCAGCTTTTCCAGCCGGTGGCTCCATTTCTCCCTCTCTCCCACACCACTTTCCCCATTGCTCCTTCGCCGGTCCCGGGCCTCCGAGAGGGACAGGGAGGTGGCGCTGCTGGAGGAGGACGGTGGCAGGGAGGAAGAGGAGGAGTGCGGCATGGCCAGCGGCAGGGAGAGGGAGACAGGCAGGGCGCTGGGTGTCTGCGGCTGGGAGCCGGAGCCCCTCTTGCCATCCTGGGTGCCCATGGTGTAGCTGTAGCTGGAGCTGGGGGGGGTCTGCAGGCTGTCCCCTGAAGAGCTGCGCCAGTGCAGGATGCCACGCACGCTGCCCCTCACGCTGCGGCCCACATTCCGCAGGGAAAAGCGCTTCTTCAGCTTGCTCTTGGAGTGGCTCCCGCCAACCATGCCATTGCCCTTGGAGGATGCCGAGGGGGGCAGGGTCACCGTTGACGGACAGGCATTGGCTCCACCCAGGCATACTTCCCTCTCTGCATCCGCATCATCTCCCACTGGCCCTACCCAGCTCCCTTCATCTTCCTCCTCGCCATTCCCCACAACGTGTCCAAGGGCCGGCCTCGACGAGATGCCCGCGTCCGCCCGCCCGCCATTGTTCCCACCCATGGAGGAGGAGCAGGAGGAAGAGGAGGATGGAGGGAGGATCTGGGTGTGGGCGTAGGTGTCCTGGTACGAGGTGGGGTATCTGTCCACCACCCGCACGTCATGCACCACCCGGATTGGCAGCGCCTTGGGTGTTGGTCGCAAGTGAGTTACTGGGCAGGTGGGTGTGGTCTCCGGGACCAGAGGGGGCGAGAGCTCCTCCTCCTCCAGAGAGGTGGCATCGGAATTGGGCACCCAGCCTCCCGCCTCCTTGGGTGTCACTCGGCCCTCCAGCTCGCTCTGGAAGTGGCGCACAAACCTGTCCGTGAAGCGGCGGCAGAAGGCACCGGCCGAGTCTGCAGAGTAGTGCGGGTTCTCCAGGAGGAACGCCCGGAAGTGCCGGGCAAAGTCGCCAGCCGCCAAGCGAGCATGGAGCTCACAGAAGTCTGTCCAGCTGAGTGATGGTGACGGCGACGGCGTGGGCGTGTCCGACAGCGAGGACGACTGCGCTGGCGGAGGGGGCGGCGGTGGGGGCAGCAGCGAGGGTGAAGGCGGGGAGGGAGAAGGAGATGGGGGAAGAGGAGAGGCGTTCGAGGCACGTGGGCTAGGAGGTGTGAGCAGCGAGCCGTTCATGGTTCTGTCAAGTGACTTGGATTAAAGGCTGAAGCCGGTGATGGAGGGACGTCACTGCAGCCTCGCTTCATCGAACGTGCTCGCTGGCTTTTCTGGCGGTACACTGACCTGATGTAGGGGTACTAGGGACAGGTCAAACAGAGCGACCCCCAAACCGGCTCAGGAGCCACAATGGTCATTGAGGAGCCATGCAAAGTTCAGGCATGAAGTCTCCCCCCTGCTCACCAAGGAAGGGAGAGAGGAAATGGGCCTTGTTTGGGAGAGCTGCACTCTGCCTCCCTCCTCTAAGGCAGACCGAGTGCCCCGCAGACCAGTCGCTGAAACACAAGTAAATAAAAGCAGCTGTCAGCTTATACAACCTCCCAGCTGGCTATTAAAATTTAACACACATCTCACAAACACATTGACAAGTATACTGTGTAAAACGGCTTTATTTTACTGGAAATTAAACAACTATCTTCGTAAAGGCTGTCATTCAAAGAGCATAACGGGACAATCGTATGTATTTGAACATGTGCCATCGAAAACCCGGATTTCTACCCAAACCACTGACGCATAACCTCAGTATATAATACTACAACACAGATGACCCTGCACAAAGTAAATAATATTTAATTCGTAACCAATAACCATGATAAGCAATCCTGATCATCTAAAAATGACAACAAAACAACAGAAATGAAATCAATGGCCATTAATATGATTTCGAGGCTCAGATGTTTCATGTAGAAAAACAATAAGCTATTCATACATAAAGGTTTCTATTAAGAAAATACGGCTGGATCATCTGACGGCTGCATGTTCATCCATACAACCAGATTGCTGGCTTCTGCTAAAATATGTATTTAATGCAGCGTGTGCTGTGAGATGCGCGTCCCGGCGCCTTAATTTTCCTTAATTAAGAGTGAGAAGCGCATAAGGACGGAGCGTGTGCGGCTGGCTGGGCGGCCACGGCAGTCCCTGAGCCGGCCTGGGCACACACTCAAGGCCGGGGCTCCGGGGGTAAGGAGGGAAACCTAACCTACCTGAAGAAGGGAGAGAAAACATGGGGGTGTACAGTACGGACTCCGGGTGGAGAGCCGGACAGCGCGGCCTTTGAGTAGCGAGTCCACGATAGCTAGCTAGCTAGCACCCTGCTAAGCAACCGCGGCTAATAACGAGCCAATAAACCGGCCCGGCGGCGACGAATAAAGCGAAGCAGAAGCGTGCTCACCCTCGTCCCCGGGGCCGGGATCCGCCTTTTCCCGCGTAGCTCACTAACGCCCGTCCATGTTCGCCTCTCGTTATTAACCAGTTACCTGGTAGCGGCTAGCGCTAGCTGGCCATTAATAATATAACTTAGCCTTATGATCGTTGCCTTTCATTCGTTTGCTCCGGCAGTTCCCCCCCTTCGCGCCCGTCGTGCCACGTATCCCGCCCGCTTCTCGGTGGCCGAACGAACCGCAAGGCTGTTGTTTTTGTTATTATTTTATTGTTATTGTTGTTGTTAAAATATGAATATTTCTGTGCCTGCTGCCCCAGCCTCCGTGTCTCGCGATACAGTGAGGAAAGGGAAAGTGAGGGGGGGTTACCGATGGGGGGGTTGCTGGGATGGGATGGGATGGGATGGGGGGATGGCGACCGGGAGGGGATTTACTGAGGAGTGGGGCGGCGGAGATGGGGCTCATTGAAGGGAACGGGTTTGCTGATGGGACTGCTGGTGATGGGCGGCTTTACTGCTGGGAGACACCGCGCAGCGGGTGGACTTTAACACGTTACATTGTGCTGTGCAAAAAAGATCCGCGACGCTTCCTTCGTGGAAACAATAAATCCACTCATTTTCCGATGGAATAGGACATAGAGTTGACCTGATCATATATAGTTATGAACAGACACAGTATATTTATGCTGGAGTAGGTTTGCATGTACCTTCAGTTGCCTCGATAAGCATTTTGATAGTGTGCTGAAGCCATTGTGAGTCAAGGATGAAATGGTTCGGGGTCAGGAGTCTGTGTAAATTCACGAACGAATGAATAAGTGGTTTGGTGTTTGAGAGATGATGTTGCAATGTATGTGTACACGTGCGATGTCCACGCCATGCAAAGCGACATGATCGTACCCTGCTCGCAGGACAGGTGTGGCTATTGACAAAGCAAAAAATAGTTGGCCATCTTAAATGGACCTTCAACAGTAGGCATACATTTGTTAGAGAACTATCATGCAAATATTAAATGACACTCTTTATTTAAATTACAGTTTGTTCATGATGCAAATTATCGTAGGCAGCTTAAGCGATAAAACGATTACAAGATCATTCTCGCTTCAAATACGAGTTGAGGGTCTAAAGCACAAATCTCACATTGACTGAGCGACAAGCTTCAACCCAGTCATAATGTCCCAAAACAATAACAATCCAATACTACTTATATTAGTCCATAAAGCTTTAATAGTAATATGAGTTAAATATGAATAACACTAATGTTAAGAACCAGGGCCAGTTTAGCAAAATTGTTTTACTTTAGTTTTAGACCTTGGCAGATATATTAAGTTTTTATTAATTTTTTAGTTAAAGTATATAAACCTTAACCCTTACACCACAATCACATTCATAAACTTCAGGGAAAAACCGAAAATATTATCTAAGTGAATGTTTTGCAACCACAATAATGTGAGATATATATGTATATCTCCAGAACACATATGAATATCGTAACATTTAACATAATCACCATGTTTACACAACTATGCAGAACACCAAGAGCACGCGGGAGGGATTTAAACTGCATTACCCACAAAGCTCGGCGAATTCCTGCTGTTGACGTGGCCGACGTTTTGCATGGAGCCGGGCCGATTTAAACCAGTTGTTCAATACCTCATTCTGAATAAATATATTTACGTTTTCCGTACACGCCAGAAGAAGGAATAAAAATTTCTGTATTACTTGAACTTAGTGATTTTTAAAGTATCTGTAACTGAATTGCACACGGTGACTATGTCCGGAAAAATAAAGAGTCGAAGCGCCGCAAATGCCGAGTCGATGGCAGGCAGCGTGTCCTGCGACGAGCGGATTCTGCGGGAGTGCCATCAAATTTATACCGATGCCGATAGTGGTGAGTTTTAGGCCGGGGCTGCTTTATGTTTTATAATGAATGAATTAATACCCATACGCCTTGTCTTTTAAAATGTACGTGCCCTGCGAGTATTCAGCAAATGTTAAGAGTTTCCGGTGCGTGATACAATTAAAAATACAAGTTTGAGTTAGTTGCGGTGTTGTATGTTTCAGGGCTGATCTCGATCGCAGAGTCAGTGGGGGTCACCCTCCTGCCCCCCAGGAAGAAGATCACGGTCATGTTGATGGGTAATCACTCTGCAGGCAAGAGCTCCTTTATCAACTGGTAATCCTTAGTATTCATCTTTTATCCTATAGATCACAACATTTGTGTATTTTCTGTTTATCCGATGGTTCCTTATTCCAGTTGGGGGAGGATTACAAAACTACAATTTTGAGGTAGTGGACATAGGAGGCCAAGGAAGATTAGAGTGGCAGCTTATTGATGACAGCCTGGGATTTGTTCTGTGAGATATACGAGTGCACGTTGAGGGACTCAGCCACCTTATTTCACATTAAATCTTATAATTATATAAAGTCCCCAAAAAACAATGTGTCTAATAACAAACCATTCATCACGAATGGTCTGAAGGACTTTATGGACAGAAAGCAGAGGGTGTTTATGTCTAAATGATTAAGTGTGTGCAGGTAGGGCTTAGCAAAGGGATAAACTGGTTCAGGGACCAGCTGGAACAGTAGTTCCAGCAGAGCAACCCCAAGGAGGCGTGGGGTAGGATGAAAAAGAAGTGTTAGGGTTAGGTAATGGATATTAGTCAGTGCTGCCCTCCGGGAGCGACCATTCCTACCACAGGGGCAGGCTTACCACTGTAGCTGCATCCAAATTCAGAGGATGCATCCATCAAACGTGGCCTCTGCAGGCCATGTCCTTCTAAATATCTGTGCAATGAATCCTGGGATAGTTTTGCACACAGTTTGTGTCAAGAATCATGACTGGGGCTTCTTTTTGCCATTGGCCACAAGACTAAATAATGCCTGCTTGTTTTCTCACAGAATGTAACTGGACAGCATTCTCAGGGTCTGTATCATCCATGGACTGCCTGAGTTAGGTCTTGGACGCAGTGGGCAGCGGCCGCAACCGTGCGTTTGTTGTTGCCTTGCACTGACGGCCACCCTGTCGCAGGTACGTGGAGGAGCACGTTCAGCGGACAGGCGTTGCCATCGAGACGCAGGGATTCAGCTTTGTCACCAGTGGACGCAAGAGAGAGAGCCTGACGGTGAAGAAAGTCGCTCATGTAGAGCGACTCATCTTGTGGTGGCATAGCAGAGGATGTCCTCGCAGAGGATGTCCTCGCAGAGTCTGCTGCCATTGGCGTTAACGCTCACAGTGTTATTGTTGTGTTTTAGGGAAATGCCACCCTTCACCTGTACCCTCACTTCAAACCTCTGCAAGAATTCAAAGGTCAGACTGGCATTAATCTGAGCGCCCTTCGTTTCCCTGCCCTGCTCAATTGTGTGAGGCCTCCTGTCCAGCATGGTCGTCCATGTCTCACAGGTGTGTCGGAGTACCTGTGTACAGAGATTTGCACCTCCCGGCAGAAGCGTTTTAGCCTGGTGACCTTTGTGGACACTCCCGGACTGGTTGATGGAGATATGAAGTACCCATTCGACGTGGACCAGGCTTTACTCTGGCTGGGTGGGTCAATAAGCCCCTTCTTTTTGCCCCTGCTCTGACCATCTCAGTTCCTGTCATCAGCACTGGCTTCAGATGTCAGCGAAAGGTGTTCATCCTGCTAGGCTGGCTAATATTTTTTACTCTAGTGCCCTCTACTGTCCCTTTGCAGAACAGCGGGCCTCTGCATTTGTTGCTGGTGTTGCTATACAGTGAATTGGTGGATTCCATGGAGTAATCATCCACCCGGGTCTATCTGTCTACAGGTAACCTATGTGACCTCATCCTGGTGTTCTTCGACCCAATGGGCCAGGCTCTGTGCAAGCGCACTCTCAACATTGTGGAGAATCTGAATGAGTCACAAGGCGACCGGTTACGCTTCTACTTGAGCAAGGCTGACGAGGCCGGGACTGAGTCAGACAGGCAGGTGAGTGGCTGGACCTTGTGGGGCGGGGCACCATGTGGCCGCTGGACCCGCCCTCTTCCCTGCTTTGCTGTATTCCACCCTAGAGGGTGATGATGCAGATAGTACAGGAGCTGTGCAAGAGGCCGGGACTCAACAAGTGTGGATTCGACATGCCTACTATCTACGTCCCCAATCCTGGCAAGGTAGGGGGGCGTCTTTGCAGTCCTGCAGCTTCTCTAATGCCAGAGACACTGGTGTGGTCCTCACACCCCCTCCTGCTCTGTCTGGACGCCTCCACAGACCAGCCGCTGTGTGAACCAGATCGAGGAAGTGTGTCGTACCATCGAGAAGACCATCAACCAGACGGTGCAAAACACCCTCAACTCCCTGGAGAAGGATTGTGAGGCCGTGAGCCGGGCCATCACTGCAACGCTGGTGACAGACAGGTAGAGGAGCTCCAGGCTTCCTTCTCATTGCACGGTAAAGCAGCCCCCCTCCCCCCCCCTGACCTGCTCCTGTCACCCCTCCTGTCCAGGCAGAGCAACATGAGTAACCGGCGTGCCCGCTGCCAGGCCTGCCTCCTGGGGCTGCTGGGCCTCCTCGTGCCCTTGCTGCTCCTGGCAGTCCTGATGCTGGGCCCCATGTCCAAGGGGCTTTTGGAGGCATTGCTGGGCCCGAACGGAACTGCAGCTCTCTGGCTTTATCTGGTGGGTGCAGAGTGCCTGACTTGCAGCAGGGGGCGCAGTAGATAAGGAGCTGGGCTGTGTAAGTGTGACTATATTGCCTCTCTCTCGTTCAGGCTCCTGCATCCCAAGCATTTAGGTCGTTGGATGTCCAGCAGCAGCTGTACCTTCTCGGGGGCCTCGGCCTGCTGTCTGTCACTCTGCTACTCCTGGCTCGCCTTTTCTTCCGGTAAGGAGAGATCACCGTTCTGGATCGCTCTCCAGCACCTTACAGTTCCTATACTGTCAACGATATATAATGTGTATATATAACATCCCCCCCCCCCACCACCAGATCTCGACCAACACTCTCAAGCAGGCAGAAGCGGCAGCTGCAGGAGAAGCTGGAGTATGTCCAGGACGTTGTGAAAAATAAGAAGGTGCAGTACACAAGGTCGCTTACAGGGGGCGCTGTGCTGTCTGTGCTGCATTGGCATGCCTTCATTCCTTCCTCTCTCTGTGCAGAAGAAGCTTTACGAAGATTATCTGCGCCAGAGTGTCTCTGATCACGATATGGACTAAGGAATACAGAAAGAAGAATACAGGGAGTGCTACTGAGCACCTTAGACGGCACTGCACATTTCGGCCTGTATTAGTCAGTCCAGGCCTTCAGACTGCGCCTCACACTTGACCACTACCAGGTGTGGGAATTGGAGTTTATTGGTACATGTTTACCGCGGACAGTTGCAGGCTTTGGAAAAAAACCCTGACACTACCTGTTTTGGAACCTTCCGTAGTTAGAATGAGTAGTTTTGTAGGAAGCTTTATATAAAACTATTTTCATAAGTATTGTAATGTTACTTGGCATAACTTTTTAATTGCAGAATGATGGTTCCTCTGAGGAATTTTGTATCTGTATACCACTGTGTGTTTCTCACTTACATTTTTGCCCAGCTCAGAATTGTCACATCCCATTAAAACTGGTAAAAAGTGATCACATGACTCTTCTGGAATGGACCCAGTGTGAATGCATGTCACACGTATCACGTATGACCGGGACCACTCGTGGTTGGCCTTTGGCACTTATAGGGAACAGTATGTTTAATGTATTAGTACATAATACTGAAATGGGCTGACAGATAATGTACAGTGCAAAGCACAGATATTTAATGTTCTCCCACACATATGCATTGGTGGTTTTATGTATTGCAGGCCAAACTGTGCCTGCACGTAGCCATATACTAAATTTACCAGGTTGAACACCCCCAGCTATGGACCTGATGTGGAGGTGTTTAAATAGGTGATCCAGTTAGCTTGTTTTGCTGTAATAAGGAGCTTTTTCAGGTGTGTTAAGCTTGCCTGCCAACATTTAGGTTTCAAAATACGTTTTTTGTTTGTTTGTTTGTTTTGTTTTCGATGGGCAAGAGGTGGGAGTTGCTAATTCATTCAGCATTCAACTGGCCTGCGCATAAAGTCTGCACATCCCTTGCTGTGGAATTGCCAGTTTGCAGTAACCAAATGGGGAATGCAATATGTATTCTATGAACTATGTGTCCAGATTGTTTCACACGTGATCTGGCAACTCGGGTAACATCAGACAAACATACAAAAGTTATCCATAATAAAGTTTGAGGGCCGTGCAAATTTCCTGGAGTTTCCCGGGAGAAACAAGAAAACGGGAGCGCGCCGGGAAATGGCCTTGACGGACGGCAAAATCCGGGAAAAACAGGATTGTTGGCAGGTATGGAGGTGCAGCGCTCCCTCAGCACAGTCCTTCAACCTCCTTCCTGCTGGGGATTCCATAGGCTAGGGTGTCCTCTGATATTACCGGGGTTGCCAACTTTGAGATGTTCAATTCCAGACGAGTCTGCACACATATTTACATGTATGTAACAGTTTTATTACCCTGCAAATCGTCTATACGGTTTGCAAATTACCACAACGCTTTTGATGAAGCCATTTTTAGGTTTATAATGGGTTATACACATTTGCTGTAAGATATCTTGCGTGAGAGTCTGAATGCACGAGTGTCACGCCAGATAGGTGACAGTTGGCGACCCCGTATTACTCACGCTGGGACGCCCAACAGCTCACGAAGAGTTTAAAATACCGAAAATAAACTTGAATAACGTTTGCAAAGGGGTAGTGCTTTTTCTTTCACATTTTAATTTTTCACCACTTCGGTTTGCAAACACACAGGTGCTAGGTACGGCAATATGTACGGTGTGGTATAAATAAAAGCCGTCTACCCTTCGCCTACTCCCGGAATGCTGATGCCCGGCGCACCGCGGCCGTCAGCCCCTTTTATTCTGGAAGCCGAAGTGCGTAGGCGGCCCCTAACCCCCTGGCCTCCGGGGAGGGTTGTTACGCGATTTCCGTAGGCTTGGACCGGGGAAAAGTTGTTTCCTGAACTTTTGTCTTAATAAAAGCAGACCGCTATAGAAGCGAGGTGCGCCTTTTCCGGCCGGCTGGGGCTGTCTGTTGCTCAAGAGAAGCAGCGACGAGCCAGTCTGGGGATTTTGAGCCGTCCGAGCTCCTCAGAAGGGGATGATTTGTGAGCCATGGAGAAGTCGGAGGGGGAGCCGAGCCGAAATGCGCCAGAAGAGCCCGGTAAAGTAACATACGACGACGGACCAGGGCTGAGGAACCGCGCCGGGATCGGGCGCCGATTATATGGGGACCAAGGCGGGATGATAGGGAATCAAGATGGAAAAAACTACCTTGTAATTCCTCGGCTTATTTCGATCACATTTAGGGGGATTGTTGTGCACTATGTTTGTTTTAGAAACCTGAGCTCTTGCGATAAAGGCGCCCCATCTTTATTTATACTTTATGAACACTTTTACTTTTGGTCTCTGACAGTGCTGGTGGCCAGCCTGCAGGCCGAGCTAGCCGATTGCCGAGCGCAACTGGAGCACTGGCAAGGCGTAGCGACGATTTGCGAGCTGAGCAAACAGGAAGAGCTGTCCGAGCTGCAGAAACAGTGTGACCAGGAGATACAGTCTCTCCAGGAGGCGCTGAGAGGTCTGTGTGGGGCTGGAGGTGGTTGTGTGCAGCCTGCAGTGTGTCAGTGAAGTTCCGATCCTTCAGTGTGACCCTGTGTCTCCCCCTCCAGAAACAGCATCTCAGTATGAAACCAAGATCACAGCACTGCAGGTTGAGCGCACTCAGTGGAGAAGCGGCATGCTCGTGGCCACCAATCGCAAGGTCCTCCATCGCTGCCCACTTGTCCCAACTCCTCAACCCCTCCCCCCCCCCCAGTTTGCCTTGTTAATGCAGGATCCTCTACTAAATGCAGAGAGACCTTTTAAGGCATGCTCTGCTTGTTCTTCATCACCCCTCAGAATGGCCGAGAGGTGCTGCGGGATGGAGACGGCTTCCTGCAGGCAGATACAGATGCAGAGAAGCCTCACGGCCTGACAGGGGGCCCTGGTGACGAGTGCGACAGCACGGAGCCAGCTGAGCGAGACGCAGGCGAGATGCCCGAGGAGGAGGCCGGGATGCCCGAGGGGGACGTTGAGGGGGCCCTACCTCTGACGGAGGGCTACTTCTCCCAGCACTGTGACACCTCCTCCCTCTCCTCCTTCTCCTTGGACACCCCCTTGCTGACCAGGCGGCCTCAGCCCCAGGACGACACAGCTTCCCTGCTGTCCACTGGGACGCTGGTGCCCGAGGCGATCTACCTGCCCCCGCCAGGGCACCGGCTGGTGGCACACGCCGACTGGGATGCACTGCATGCTCAGGTAAGCCAGCAGGGGGAGCAGCAGTGTCAGTCTTGAAGCACACGGCTTTACCTTGGGAGTATTAATGATGGCGCCCCATGTCTCAAGGTGGCCGAACTGCAGGGGGATCTCGCACGTCTACGAGAGGAGCGGGCGGAGCTGGAGAGAGAGCTCAGCCACCACACCTCTGAGACCCAGCAACAGGTGGCTGGCCATCGCGGCCTGCTGGCCCCTCCCCATGTCACTCCCCAGTGCTGTTCTGCTTTGATTTGGCTTAGACACTACAGCAGTAAAGCTGATTTGTAATGTCTTGTGTAACGTTTCTCTGTGGTGCTTTTGTTAACTTCCTTTAGGGGGCTCTTCTGTTCATTTCATGAGATATAAATTACCCCAAATTATCTGTGCAGGTTTCTGTGCTGCAGTCCCAAGTACAGACCTCAGAGAACCTCCTCCAGGACCTGCAGAAGTCCTTTGCACAATCACAGAGCACCGTTCAGGGTCGCCTGGTGAGGGGGCAACCAATAGCGTGTGTAGCCGGGGGCCACGCGGGGCCCCCAGATGAGCATCTGAACCTCGATGTGTCCTACAGGCGGAGCTCTCTCTGTCCCACCGGAGGGTCTGTGCTGAGCTGTCCAGACTGAGGGCTACAGAGCCTGAGGCCTCCCAGGACAGGGCCCAACAAGCCGACGTGGGCCCATCCCTACAGGTACTGCCATCTAACCCCCTAGGACATGATCCAACACCCCACCTCAGTTCAATGGACAAACATGCACACTATCTTGGATTAAGGTGTAACACATGTAAAGTGAAAATATATAACAAGTCTTGTGGTTTATATCAAGGGTTCTCAAATGGCGCTTTTCCACTGGCAAACAGGCTCCAACCCGTACCCGAGCTGTACCGCAAAGAGAGACTAGTTACAGCATGGTTCCAGTTCACTTTGGTTTTCCACTGCAGACGGGTCGGCTCGGTAAAGGCGTGCCGGGTTTGGAGAGTGTCATTGAAGTAAAACTGAAGAAACGCGGTGTATTCATCACGATTTACTATGTGCAAATTTTTTATCTTTTTTTTTTTTTTTTTTTTGCTGTGTGCTAATTTTCGCAAGCATGTCTGAGAATTGCCGTGTTATGTTAGCATCAAGTGCGAGCAGAATTATCTTAATATTATATAAAATTGCATTACAAATCCATTCCGTTCATCTATTTTTTTAAGTAGGAGGAAATTTTGAGGATCTGAGTTATTGGGAATGCGTTAATACATTGCGATGTGCGATACTACTGTTAATTTATAATATATAGAATATGCCATTTTTTTCCTTCAGATAATCCATGCTTTTTGACGCAGATCACTGGTATCTTCTTGCTATCAACCAATCAAATGGTGGTGACGCAACCAGCTCGGTTTGGTCATGCTTTCGGCCCTGCTAGTAAGCAGCTCTGTCAGCACGGGTATGGTTCTGGTACAGCTTGTATATTTTGCAATGGAAAACCGTCAGTACGGGTCAGGTACGGCTTGGTTCCTGGTGGCAGTGGAAAAGCACCAAAAGTCTAGACCACAGTACAAATGTGAACCAAACCGCAAGTTAATCCAGTCAATAATACACAGTATAAATCAGTATGGTTAATGTGAAAAGGCTTAATGTGGTTTGAAGTACAAAAATACAATGAAGAACCACCAAACTTTCCACACACATGATTCATAATAACCCCCCCCCCCCAAAAAAACAAAACTAGTCTTTAACTTCCCATTTTAATATTTAATATTAAGTTACATTTAATATCAAGGTCTAATATTGAAAGTTATTGTTAATTTTATTTAAATTTATGCAATGCTGTTTTGTTATTGAAAATTGGTCTGGACCTCTGAACAAAAACCTGATGTAGACCTTTGATCAAAAACTTTGAGAACCTCTCTTACACATCTTACACATTATGATTTAGATTGTCAGAATGTAATACCACATGTTGCCTGCAGGGGACGCATTGTGAGGAAAGGCTACGTATTGAGATTGTCAACCTGAAGGAGCAGCTGGAGCAGCGAACTGAGGAGAGCGGTGTGTGAGGCTTTGTCATGTGACTTGTCATGTGACCCTGTTCTTGGAGTCCACGTGTGAATATGCATCACGTAACATTTTCTGTTCGGTACTTTAACACCTTTTTTCTGTCCTCTTCATGTCTGCTCCTGCTTACTGACTCACAGAGGTCCTGGAAGGTGAGAAAATTTTACTGAAAGCCTTTTTTTTTTTATTTAAACCACCATAATAAATTATTTAATCTAACAAAGTAATTCCTTCTATGTGTTCAGTTAAACTCTCAAGTCTGAAGACAGAAACTGACAGAATTCAGAGTGAAAAAGACAAGGTATTTATAACATTTCAGTGGCTCAGCAGTCCAAATGATGTTTCTTTAAATTAAGGCTAACAGATGCAAGACCTATTTATTCCTGAAGTTAAGGCCCATTTTGAATCCAGCTCTCTTCTATTTCTCAAGCTGCAGAGTGAGTTACAGTTATGTCACACTGAACTCTCTGGCCTGCGGGTGGCGTTGTCTCACCTGCAGAAAGAAAACAAAGCTCAGAGCAGCAACAAGGTTGGTTCATTGTGACACACCGGGTGCACTCCAACTGTGTCGCCTCTGAGCATTTGTGAGGTTTCAATTAAGGTCGTGCATCTTTCCAATATCTTTCCTTTCTGTCAGTCTGCTCTGGAGCAGCAGTGTCTTGAACTGCGCAGTCAGGTGATCAGCCTGCGCAGTCAGCTAGACAACAGTCAGGCTGTGCAGAGGGACTTCGTGCAACTGTCGCAGTCTCTGCAGGTGCGTGTGGTCATTTGTCCTCTGCATGTTACAGAAAGTGTCAGGCTGTTCACTGAGGCATGTGCCTGTTTTTACATTTCCTGTCTTCCCCTCCCTCCAATTGTCCTTTTTCAGGTGAAGCTGGAGTTGATCCGCCAGGCGGGTTGTATGGATCAAGTGAGGGAGGTCCTGGGGGAGGGGCCAATTGATGAGAGTTCAAAGGGCACTGACACTTCATGAGCCAAAGAGCTGAATATGTCATGAACACACTGAAAGGTGGGTGTTTACTGGACACCAAGCAGTTATTTTACCAAACACTTTTACTAAATAGTCTAATTTGATGTATGGAAGCTGACAGAGTCTGACACTACTGCTTATTTTTATAGCTAATGTTATTAACTTGAATGGAAATTGTTAGTCTCTTTCTTGCACACATCTGGCGTCCACCTCACCGTCGCCTGGGACTGTCCATCCAGTACAACCTCTTAGTCAGCGCTGTCAGTCATGTGCTTGTTACCATGGTTCCTTGCGCTGGGTGGGACTCTGTGACTACAGCGTCAATGAAGTGTCTTAACTATTAAGCCTCAATGTTTTGAAACCTTTCCATCTTTGCTGCTCCTTTTATTCCGTAAGTTCACTTGAATGTTTTTTTATTTTTAATGTGGGGTCCTTCTGTTGCTAAGCACTTCTTTCATTATTATTTTCTGTTCTATACTCCTCATTTTACATTTGTGCAGATCAAACTGTATGTATTTAACAGGTTTAATGATTTTGAAATGTGTCACATTCTGTTGCTTCTGCTGTATGATGGAGCATAACTTAAGATTTCAGATCAGGCTGTTGGCCCTACCTTGTCCCCATTCCTCAGAATGGAGATTTCAGGTCCCTGATTGATTAGGGACTTGTGATCAGGAGGTTTCCAGTTCTTCCCTTTGGCCAGTAGGGGGCCTTCCTGGTCTGAGTGTTTGAGTGATGACTGGGGGACAGCAGTGAGTCTGTGATGTTTGTTAGGGTAATACCTCAGGAATTACTGAACTGTAGTGTACTGTTATTCTGGGGGGCGGGCCTTTCCTCCTGGGCTCAGGTCATCTTTTAGGAAGGAGACATAGCAGTTTAAGTATTGATGTGCATGCATGGAGGCAAAATCTGCAGCTAGAGAGCAAACCAGTCAGATTAACACCGAGTTTTAAAAGGGATCACAGGAGTCGGACTGATGCCAGCTTACTTTTGCGCAGTTCCGAATCTCAGTGCATTTGATTCCTAGTGCAAATCTCTCTGTCTGTATCCATTTGACCATTTTCAAATGCAAAAAAATGCGTGAAATCTTCCACTTTGGGCATCTTATCAATGTCTGCATTAAACAAATCTACATTTAAATGTCTTGCTTGTGTTTTGTTTTTGGGTTTGCGGTGTAACAGCAGCAGAGAGACGACCTCAATGGGGGGGGGGGTGGAATTTTGGAGACCTTCAAACATACAAAACTCATTTACCACTTGGAACACATAACAGGTCAACTCTTAAGCTAGCTAGTGAAGATGGAAAATAATTGCTGGATGGAAGATAAAAACCATGTGACTGATTTAAAATTTACAGGCAATCAGAATAAAACCAGAGAACGGGTCTCTCTAAAACACGTTTTTATTTTTATAGAATAAAATAATAGAACGTACTGATTTTATAACTGTAACCTATGTATTAACACCTTCTCATTCCATATACAGAATTATTTATATGTCTCTTCATGATCTTCACGTGTTCATATCCTTGCTCTTCTACTGACTGGCTGGGCCCTCTCCCTTGGGTGTCTCACGCATGCCTCCTCTTCCTCTTCCTCCTCCTCCTCAGTTTCACTTCTTCTGCAGTAGAGTCTTGTCTGTCCCTGCGTGGCAGTGGAAGAGGGCAGTGCGTGAGACCCCAGGGTGGAAAGGGTTAGGGTTAGGGGTAACATTTTACTTAAGGTGGGACACTTGAGGTGTACACTCTTAACATATTGAACAAGCCGAAACTAAATGTTAGTTACATATTGATCCCATGTTTGTTCATCATTACTCAATCATTAGTCAACAGTTCATATACTTCATGCAGTTATTTTATTTGTTTATGATATGTACTTCAGTAGTAACTGATAACTAAGTTACTTGTGCCCACTCAAGTTAGTGTTACTGTGTTAGATTATCAGCGATAGTGTTACACCCAGACTCTGATGGTTAGCATCATTAACATCCAGAGTAATGATACAATTGTACTGGCATTAGTAAATTTGCTGGTACAGTGACTATGTTCTTAGTATCAGCATTACAACATTAATACTAAACACATGCACTTCTAAGTCTTTTTCAGTTTGCGACCTTGTTCAGAAGCCCCCGGAGCTGGCACACACAGATCCCAGCATTCCGCAAAGCGGCCTGACTCGCCCCAAAGCCCATGGTCTAACAGAACTACCCCAAAGCCCATGGTCTAACAGAACTACCCCAATGTCTCAATGGTGTTCTGCTGCATTTGATGTGGGACAGAGGGGACAAGACAGGCAGACAGCTGAGGCGTGTAGTGCAATGTCTTTCACGCTGGCGAGAGGCCGAATGCCCAACCAGCATGTAACGCCATAGCGTTTACCATGGTAAACCAAGGCGCAAGCAGTCAGTCAGGGAGGGTTGTGGGATACCTTGTTTTGTTACGGGGAAATGGGTAGTGGGATTAGGCTGAAATTGGTGAGAGAGACAAGGAGGAATTAAAGAGAAATTCAGGATTAACAACTCATATTATGAAGGGATTAAAAAAGGAATGATAGAGAAGGAGGAATGCAGAAGGAGGTAAAGGAGGAGGGAAAGGTACACATCATGATGTAGCAGGATAAAAATACTAACTCAGAAATCAACAACATTGCAGATACTATTATAAAATTAGGTGGTGATCCAAACTTAACTTTAAGATTGATTATTAATATTACTGTCCACAAAACACACAACCAGCTTTGACAGAGTTACACAGGTACAGGGTGAGGATGGAGCAGGCCCAGAATTCACATTAAATGTGTCACATGATTGAACATATGACATGGCTGCCAGCAGCCTTACATCACTACCATAGCACAAAGTAAGATATGTCGAGGTGTGAGCTGGAGAGTGATTGTACTGCGTTTGTGTGCATGTGGTGTTTCCCGTGCGCCTCCTGAATAGGTGAGTGGTGTGCGGGTCGCCCCCCAAAACCATGTCGGCCGGCCCTCACCTTCCAGGTAGTTGCGGGCGACGAACTTCAGCACCTCGTCAATCAGGATGACGGGGAACGACAACTTTAGCACCACCATCCACTGTTCTACGTTCAGGTGGGTCAGCTTGAAGACCATCTGGAGGGTGGAGAGGACGTGGGTCACGTGTGGCAGATGCAGAGGCCAGAGAGACATGGCACAGACCGCGAAGGCTAACAGCAGGAGAGGGCATAAGCATGGTGCAATGGGAAAGGGGAATATACAGAAGGACGTGGGGAGACTCACGGGCAGGGGGTCCACGTAGATGATCAGGAAATGCAGGGACATGGAGAGAGTCATGGCAGCAATCAGCCAGCCATTGCTCCATGGGGGCATACGCACCAGGGATTGATTCTCAGATAAGCTGTAGGAGGCAGGGGATAGTGTATCAATTTCCACATGCATTGCAAAAGGAAGAACAGATTGAGCCACCCTGTGACTGAAATATGACTTGAAGACCATCTGGAGGGTGGAGAGGATGTGGGTCACGTGTGGCGGATACGAAGGCGCCGCTATGGGAGGCTGCCCTTCGCGGACAACTTACTCTACAAAAAAGAGCAAGTTGAGGGAGGCGTAAAGACAATTTCCCTACGGGAATCAATAAAGTATCGATTATTATTATTATTATTATTATTATTATTATTATTATACTGGGCAGGAACCAAAGATGCACAGCCCATGTTGCCTTCTGACCTGTTTAGGGCGTTGCACATCTCAATGGTGACGAGCACAGACAAAGCCATGGTCATGGGCTCGGGTGATTCAAACACCTCACAGTCAATGCCGTTGAAATCCTCGTTCTCAGGGCTGCACTGCATAAAGTGGGACTGTGGTGGGGGCACAAGACATCATCTTAGCGTGCATGTGATAATGCTCCTGTGATAATCACACAGCAATAGCCTCCTCATCATCATGATGACCCCTCACAACGATGCTCACCAGCTGGTAGTAGGTTATCATGGGACCTTCATCGCAGTACAGGAACCACCAGGCGGCAGCACCGACGGTGGCAGCGCCCACATACCCTGGGGTATGACATGGGTGTGAGGGGGGAGGCACTCAGAGCAAGACCACCCCCCCCAAGCATCTTGGGTCTGGTACCTCCAATGGCCATGTATCTGAAGAAGAGCCAGCCGGAGATGAGGGGCTCTTTGGGAGAGCGTGGGGGCCTGCCCATGATGTCCAGGTCAGGGGGGTTGAAGCCCAGGGCGGTGGCAGGAAGGCCATCCGTCACCAGGTTCACCCAAAGCAGCTGCACGGGGATCAGGGCCTCGGGCAGACCCAGAGCCGCTGTCAGGAAGATGCTGAAAAACAGAGGCTCTCTAATGACATGACTCCCTGCATGCTGTACATTTCCGTAAAGCTCCTAGTCAATCTTACAACAGTGAGACAACAGGGCTGCTTTGCTCCTGACTGGCCAGAGGACAGTCAGGGTGAGAATCCCAGGTGCTCACCAAACAACCTCTCCCACGTTGGAAGAGATGAGATAGCGGATGAACTGCTTCATGTTGTTGTAGATGGCACGGCCCTCCTCAACGGCAGCCACGATGGAGGAGAAGTTGTCGTCAGCCAGGACCATCTCCGATGCGGACTTGGCAACGGCCGTGCCAGAGCCCATGGCGATGCCAATCTCGGCCTTTTTCAGGGCCGGGGCATCATTCACACCATCACCCGTCTATAGAGTAAGTCAGCAGATGTAAGGTTAGCTTAGGGAGTGTGCCTTTTGTCTCCCCTTGCTGGCCAATCCACATGTGTGGTCCCCACTGGCTCACCATGGCCGTGATCTCATCGTAACTCTGCAGGTACTCCACAATCTTGCTCTTGTGAGACGGCTCCACACGGGCGTAGCAGCAGGCTATACGCACGGCTTCACGCTGGTCCATCACCGACAAGTCATCGAACTCGCGGCCCGTGAAGGCACGGCCTAACACATCCTCATCCTCGCCGAAGATGCCGATGCGGCGGCAAATAGCCACGGCCGTACCCTTGTTGTCGCCTGGATGAGAACACGAGATGTTAGTGATCTGGGAATGAAGGACTCCATAGGAGAAGAAAAGAGGTGGGCAGAACAGGAGCCAGGCGTAGAACTGACCGGTGATCATGATGACACGGATGCCAGCTTCTCTACAAAGCTCAATGGATCCAGTGACCTCTTTGCGAGGAGGGTCTAACATGCCCACGCAGCCTACAAAGGTCAGGTCCATCTGTGGGGCAGAGAGACCCATGGGCATGAGCCACATCCCTTCACACTATGACCCGTGCTTGATTTTGCCAGAATCCCCACACGATATGTCCCCTGACCCCTAGTAAAATCCCCTGTTTTCATTTTACGAAATAAAAACATAAATGTCAACACATAATGAAGCTTTCAGCCAGAAAATCAGGAAGGAATCTCCCTGAACGGGAGCACAAACAGTCCCACAGTCCACTTAGGTCTCACCCTGTGGCCACTGGAAAATCACCTTATGAACTTATTGGCATGTCAAAAACGCTACTGAAAAAGTTAGGCTAGACCCTGGTCCTTGCACCCCAACACCAGTAGCTGCTCTCTCTCCCTCTCACCTCATAGTCAGCAAACTTGGTTGAGTCCTCCAGGTTCATCTCCTCCTTCTTGAGGGGGGTGTCGCGGGTAGCTAGGGCCAGGCAGCGCAGTGTATCACGTCCGGTGCCCCACTCCTTGATGACGGCCATGATCTTGTCCTTCACTGGGCCAGTTAGGGGCACACGGGTGGTGCCCACGCGGACATATGCACACCTCTCAATCACACCCTCAGGGGCACCCTGTCAAAGAAGGTAATAAGATGGGCATATTTATGGCAAAACTACACACAGAGGGTGGGAACGGGAGCACATGAGCAATTGTAAAATGATCCCATGCAAAGAGAAAAAATTTGAACAGTCACACTCATAGGGTGGACTGAACGCCTCTCAGGGAACAACAATGCAATGACACTGGTGCAACCCAACCTTCACAAACATCTTGTTGCCAACAGGAGCCTTAGAAGACTTGGCAGGGGAGCAGTAGACAGACATAGACTTCCTGTCACGAGAGAACTCCAGGGTGAACTCCTTCTTCATCAGTTGCTTGATCACCTGTAATAGGAGGTCAAAGATCAGACGTCTTATCTGTGTTCTATAGAACACTTTGATGGAATTGGCATACATGATGTCTTGTGTTCTGTAGACAGGGTGTAGTCTCTAAGACTGTGTTGAGTGGGTGTAGCATACTCACTGTACAGCAGGCATTGGCCCTCTCCACCTTGGACAGGTTACGCACGTCGGTGCTGAACACATTCATCTTTTCTACCAGGCAGCACAGGGCAGTTTCTGTAGCTTCGCCCACCTTCTCATAGATGCCCTTGGCCTAAGGGGTGGAGTGTTGGGGGTGGGGGGGGATGCAGAGAATGAGAGACCAGACTCCAGAGAGAAAAGGAGGAAAGAGACACAGACAGACAAGGAGTTAGTACACAGAAACAGACAGACAGATAGGGAGGAGGTTGGTCCACAGGGAGACAGACAGAGACTTGGTGATAGTGCAGGGAAAAGGAGGGATGAACTGACCTCATTGAAGTCCAGAGAAGAGTCATTACAGAGTGCACAGATTGTAGCCAGCTCCACCAGTCCATCATAAATGCTGCAGTTCACCCGGGCACCAGCCTTGGTACTGAGAAGAGAAATGACACACTTCATGACATACTAATGTCAGTATCTGTTCAGTGTGTGTGTCATCAACTCTCGAGTCTGTTAGGTATGGTCTGTTAGATCTGAGGAATACATTTTATGGAGTGGCGGCCCTTTGTAGCTTTTAATAGCCCTACTTGGACTGAACCCTGGGTTGGTTGTTGAAAAGCATCATGAGAGACTAGACCTGGTAGAACTGCTAGTATGCTTATTGGATGATGGAACCGGGACTGGCTGTTGGTAAGCATCTACAAGAACTAGACCCCGGTTTGGGCTGTTGATATCCTTAATGGATGATTGAACCCAATGCTCGCTGTTGGTATGCCTGATGGGGTACTGGATTCTGTCTTGCCTATCTATGAACATAACATAGGATTAGAGACAGTGTTGGATATTTATGAACTTGATGGAGGATTGGACCTGGTGTTGGTTGAAAATAAATGTGACATAGAACTTACACTTCTCCCTCGGGTGTGTACTTGGATCCTGAGATGTTGAACTCCTCCAGGGCGACATGATCACCCTCTACCTTGTCAATGACGAACATCTAGAGGGAGACAGACAGATGTACCATTTACTTCCTGTGTGGCCAGCAGACCACCAGGTGGTGTGGCCCTGGTGACCTGCTGTGGATCCTGTTGAGCCCTTGGAGTGCGAGGTAATGCTCTCAATCTCTCACCTTGGTTACACACATCTGGTTGGTGGTGAGGGTGCCCGTCTTGTCGGAGCAGATGACTGAGGTACAGCCCAGTGTCTCCACAGAGGGCAGGCTACGCACGATGGCATTTTTCTTGGCCATACGACGCGTGCCCAGAGCCAAACAGGTGGTGATGACGGCAGGCAGACCTACAGGGGCATCAAGACCGTAGGCCTAACATCAAATAATTTCGCAATTAAATCACTGAGTGTGTATTTAAGTTGTAATTGAATACATTAGGTGTATTTAGCCCACATATGTACCCTCAGGAATGGCGGCCACAGCCAAAGCCACGGCGATCTTGAAATAGTAGACGGCGCCACGGATCCAGGAACCACCATGGACCGGGTCGTTGAAGTGGCCTATGTTGATCATCCACACGGCAACGCAGATGAGGGAGATGACCTTGGACAGCTGCTCGCCAAACTCATCCAGCTTCTGCTGCAAGGGGGTCTTCTCCTGCTCCGTGGCAGCCATCTGGTCTCGGATTTTGCCAATCTCAGTGGAAACGCCAGTGGCCACAGCGACGCCGATGGCTTTGCCGGCAGCAATGTTGGTGCCCTGATGGTAAAGGAGAGAAGAGTCACCGATAGAGTCCTGACTGGAACCAAGCTGGCAGAACTGCAAAGATCTTGGTGGAATATAAGATTCTTCATTCAGGGTTAGATTTCTAGTGATAGGTCACTACAAGGAGGAAGTGGAGGAAGCTCACAGAGAAAAGCATGTTCTTTTTGTCTTGGTTGACAGCTCTGGGGTCAGGGACAGGGTCAGTGTGCTTGATCACACTCACAGACTCACCTGAGGGTGACAGGAAGTAGGAGAAGCATGACAACACGATATATACAAAGGACATCAAATAAAACCAGCAATGAAAAAGAAGGGGCAGAACAAGGCTTACCAGTGAGGATGGACTGATCAACACGCAGGGTGGTGGAACGGATGGAGGTGATTCTGATATCAGAGGGGACTTTGTCACCAACTGAACGAGACAGAGACATAAGGAACATTAAGCTGAGGAGCTGAAAAGGTGTTTAGAGGTTTGAGAATCAAAATCCAGGAGAGGCTACGCATTCGCAGAGTATGTCCAGACCTCACACATCCTGCGACTGAATGAACATGTAAACATTTTCACTTTCATATCTTGTCTTCGTTTTGGGGTGTATCAGAATCCGACAGTCTGGATCAGCAACTTAAAAGTCAGTCATGGGATCTCAGAAAGGTGAGGAGTTAATTATGGGGTTCGACCCTATTCACTGTGCTTGTGCTTCACAACATTTGCTGTGTTTGCGGCCCATTAAAGTGGTTGCGGAGGACAGGTCAGTGAGGGACTGTCGGGCTAGTCAGCTGACCCCAATGCAGTAAATTAACATTGATACGGGACGCTGAAAGGGAGACGTGTAGGAACAGGCTGATATGGAAGGCAACAGGTGTGTGGTAATATATGTTGGTCCAGAGTGAGGGAGAGAGCGAGAGGGTCAAGGAGGAGGGGAGGGAGAGCGGGAGGCAGGGAGAAAGACAGGTGCTGGGTGGTATTTATACCCCAGCCTTCATTTTCCTTCTCTCAGCAAGTTTGCTGGCCCTCTCGGTGTTCCCCTGGTGCCTTACATGGCAGACGGCATCTCTGTCTTTCTGAAGGACACCCCCCCGCGCCATCTTCACATCTGCTGCACCAAAGCTGGCTTATGTAAAGCCCCGATGACGGAGGACCCCCGTGGCGGCCGCCGGCACGCCTTACCGGACACCTCGACGATGTCCCCGGGTACGATCTCCCTGGCCTTGATCCTCTGCACGCTCTTCCTGTCGGCACGGTACACCTTGCCCATCTCAGGCTCGTACTCCTTCAGGGCCTCGATGGCGCTCTCTGCATTGCGCTCCTGGGCACAGAAATGTCTTTGGTTTGCTATCCAACAATGCTGTGCCTCTGATCCTCTCTTTTTAAATGTAATTTAGACTCCTTATGCAACATGACTATTACTACATGCCATTCCTACAATCTATCTCAGCTGTAATATGAGTCTTTCTCCAGGCCTTAACTATAACTTGAATGCTGCTTTTTCTATTAAACAACCTTGGAGCAAGGTTAATGTAACATGGCTGTCCTTTTGAGTTATAATGGCTCCCTGTTTCAATAATATTACTTGGGCATTGTTGTTCAGCGCTGTTGTTTTCCTCATCCTTTACATCCTCTTTGATACGCTCTCTAAAGACTTGGTTACCACGGCGATGCTGACCTGCCACACTCCCACCACGGCATTTGCGATGAGGATGAGGAGGATGACAAAAGGCTCCACGAAGGCGGTGACTGTCTCTTCGCCTTCCTCGAACCAGGCCAGCACCTGTGTGAAACAGACATCCAGAAGGACAAGGTCAAAATGGACAGCTAAGGTCAGGCACAAGAGGCCATGTGGCACATACGATTTCTGTTTCCTGTGATGTTCAGTCCAGCTTTGCTGTTTCTGGATTCTTCTGTGGATGCTCTGCATGAAAATTGCTCCCAAACCAAGGTAGTTATGCCCTGTAGCATTACAAGGATAAATGGACCTGTCCAATGGGCGTGTCTTTAATGATATATTCCTTATAATGGGACATGTTTTCATACCCAAACTGTAGCCCCTCCTCTGTTTCACAGCTGTCTGAATGTCATGATTATGAGCATAGTGCAGTTTGTTTACATTTAGCCCGGCATGTTTCATATACTTCACTTACAGAAGGGCCACATTAAGTGTCACAAAGAGCCACGGTGACACCTTGCCTTCCTTAGACCGGGGAATCTGGCCCAGTGAAGCACAGTTGGAAATGGTAATGGTTAGTCCTTTTTCCTTTGCTGTACTTCCTAACTCTTTCCCCCATCAACTTTTACTTAATACAGCACGATATTCACAAGCAAGACGATTCTGAGAGCCAGTCAATGAATGAATGAAAAAGAAACGTTTCATGTTTTACAAGTGTCCTGGTTTCATAATGATCTATTTTGCAATGTTATGTTTTGCAATCACACCATGTAATATTACCGCTACCTGCATCCCCCCTCCCCACTCCTGCCATGACACCCCCTCTGTCACCCCCTCTGTCACCCGCTGTCACCCGCTCTGGTAGCAGTCTGTCGCTCCTTCTCCTGCTGACCTTTTCCTGAAGGATATGGTTTCTTGCTGTGGCCCAAGACGTTCCTAAAATAAACAGGTTCCTGCCACTCCCAAATGATCCTGTCCTTCTAAGGCTGTACTGACAGCTGTCTTAGGACAGGGAGCGTGTGCAGGGGAGGGTGGGAATTAATATCCCTTTAATTGAGCTCCAAAATAAAATTTTAAAGGAACTGGTTGAGGGGGAAAATGGGGAGAAGGAGGTCAATACTTGCATTGATGGGAAGGAACCGTGATACCCAGAGAAAAGCTGGGTCACCTTCTAATCCCCAGCTGTAAGACTGGACAAGGTGGATCACAAACATCCACAATGTTAACAACCTGAACAAGGTGCTACAATTTTATGCGTGATTCTTTTCAAGTGGCACAGTGTTTCCCAACCAAGTCCTCTGTGACCCCCAGACAGTCCATGTTTTTGCTCCCTCCCAGCTCCCTGCCAGACAGTCCAGAAAAATACAGCTCCCAGAGGTCCGGGTTGGGAAACACTGATGTAATCGACCAGGCATGGGCATGGTCACTCTGGTCCACTCTTTTGGCACTCAGGGAGACAAATGTTATTTCAGTGTGAGTGCTGTTACCAGGGCTCTGAGGGTATTTGGCGAAGAGGTGCACAGGAAGCATACTGAAGGGATACAGGGCCACCAAGAGAGACACTTAGATGGGGAAGAAGTAAAAAAGTGGCTGTTTGCTCCCAAGTCAATAGATGTGCCATTTGTGTCACATAGAGTAGCTGGTCGGGGGATGTTGATCTAATCTGGATCATTTGATCCTTTCACATAAGCCTTAGGATGGAAGAACCAACTGATTCTTCTGATTCTTCCTGCTCTCCGTGAAGACTGAAGGTTCCCATTAACTTCTTGGCTAATTGTTAGCTTGTTATTGCTCATCAGGAGTGGGCTGCATAGGTTCATAGTGACATGGGGAAAGTTACTCACAAATGAGATGCAGGCAGCCAAAAGCAGAATCCTGACCAGCAGATCTTCAAACTGCTCGATCACCAACTCCCAAATGCTCTTTCCTGATGGGGACAGAGAGAGAGAAAGGATGGACTGGGGATTAATATGAGTTTGAGGTGTTGGGCGTGAGCATGATGTTTGATTCTGTCTGTGTGGGGCCTTGAGCAATTGTCCTGTGTGTCGTCTGGCCAGACCATGATGGTCCACATTTATCACGTTACATGTGACATGTCAATTATGTAAGGAGCAGAAAAGACCAACCCATTCCAGCATAGAAATGACCTCTGCACTCACTTGTAATTTGGTAACAGTGCAAACTGAGGGGGACCAATGTGTTAACATAGGGAGAGACGGACAGGGTCAGGGGCAGGGTTGTTACAGGACATACGGGTGTAAAGAAGGGACATGACAAGCATAAGATATGTGACAAGCAGAGGTGTTGATGTGTGTGGGGGTGACATATGCATAGCCAAGGTGAGGAGGTGGAAGGTCGCCTACCTTCTTCAGCTGGGAGCTCTGGTTGGGTCCACCATTGGAAACAAGAGAAAAGAAACACAGGCGATTAGCAGAGATGCCCAGAAAATTACCGCAACCTCTTTATATCACGGAGCTAGCAGGTCAAGGAATATCAAAGCAGTGAAGCTGCAGGACACAACCCAACATCTCATGTAGTACAAGAACAGAATTTGCTATTGACTAAATTGCTCAGAATAACTCCAAGAACACAGCTAGTCACACAAATCCCTTAGTCTTCAAAGCCAAGGTTCATAATGGTCATCGCACACAGTTCCTGTCACTCAATGTCTGCTCAATTATTACAAAGCTCTGCTGTCCTCTGGTCCTCACATCTCAGAGATTTATCTGATTTGTTCCTGCTAACCAGCAGCTTATATATTGTCTCTTTCAACCCTTCTACACCGAGATCCTCCTGCCACTCTTCTGCTTACTCCAAGGAGCTTTATATGGCCATGAAAGTCAACTGTAGGACATAGCAGATGTGCTTCCCTTTAGATCAGAACATCACCATGCCCTAAATACCTACAAAAAATCTGTCTACATCTGTACATCTACTTCTCTTTCCTCTTTTCCTGCTCACCTTTCCATCACCCTCTCGCTACTCCCCACCGGTTCCTCGGGGAGTGACCTCATAAGAGTCATCTTGTGCCCCAGCTCCGCTACCATCCCCCGCCCCCCCCCCACCGACTGGCAACATCCTTGCCACACTGACTCAGGTTCTCACCATTGTAGCCAAACTTGGCCAAGTTCTTCTTGAACTGGTCAGGAGTGAGGCCAGTGATTTCATTCACTCCAAAGAAACCCAGGCAGTCAGCTGGCGTCTTCGTATGTGAATTCTCCATCCTCTTGGTTTGGGGGAGACTTCAGGGCAGAGATAAAACACACTTACTGATTTATACGAAGACATATTTGAAGGTGTCTTGTCTGGTCTCATCTGATAGCTATAAGTGTCAAACGGTACCCACCACCTGGTAATGTTTCCTCTCCCCTCTCACTGTTGTCTCTTTCCTCCTCTGGCAGGAGCACTGGGCTGACAGAAAGTGCGAACTGGCGCTAACTTTGATTGGGTTTTATACAGCCATAGCATATCCCATTGGTGGCAGCACACTCCACTGTCCCTTCTCATTGGCTGAGCCCATCACACATGGGCATGGGGTGGAGCCTGGCAATAGGCGGGCATTGGGAGGGCAAATTGTAAGAATTGGGCAACAACTTTGGAAGTGGTTGCATCAAATGAAAATGGAGACTGTTTTTGGAACATGCATGGTCAGTAGAATGGGAGGTACACTGGGGGGGGGGAGACAGGCACTGGGAGACAGCTCATGTGTCTGCAAGCAGAGGAAGGGGACGTGGGAAGAGCGAGAGGAATGTGGCTCCGTGTTAAAATGTACAGACTCATGAGAGAGGGCATGTAAGTAGAGGGGTTAAGACAGCACAGAACACTAATGGTCTGAACAAGCAGGAAGCACACTTAGCTCATGGATGGCAACAAATATGGCTGCCGATGTAGGGCATGTACTCCTCAGATAGCTCACGGACCAGCTCGGCTTGCTGATCTCTGCATGTTTTCCCACATTCGCCATGGAAACATGATGCAAAAGCTACAAAAGACCAGTAGCCATTCAGCATACAGCGTGGTTTAGGATACGACGCTGAGCTTCTAATGACACTGAGCAGGGCTAACGGGGACGGCCCAACATCATTGCTAGGGGAGGGGCTAAGGCCACAAGAGGCGGGCCAAAGGAAGAAGGGGCAGGGCTAAGGGGGTGAGGGGTCAGCATTGAGGCAACCCGTCACTCTGCAGAAAACAGAATCCCAAACACTGAACCTGCCGTAGAAACAGATTAATGTAGGGTTGCATGCAAAAAAATTAAAAACACTTGACCAAGTGGTACCTGAATAAAGTCCTGGATCCTCTACATGGAGTGCTTAAAAGTTGGAGAATCACACAGGGCTCAGTAAGACAGGGTATATTATGGGATGGGGTGGCGATAGCGGGTTTCCCTGCAAACGGTGCCCTCCAGGGTTACACTCTCCACGCGCATTTCTTTATGCCTGTAGAGCGTTCACTGTAAGCCCTTTGGACACTCTGGATGTCATGAGGGCAAGACAGTGGGCAGTGAGGTGGGAAGCCAGCACTCCCTGCACTGCATACGCAGTGTGCCCCAGAGTACGGTCTTGGTATCAAGTGCGGGATGTCCTCGCCGGGCCAGTAAGGGAGCCCCCGCCCTCAAAGGACGCAGAGAGATCCGCAAACTGCTAATGAGACGCCAACACTTGACCAGCTCCCAAATCCTCCAAGCGCCTGCTTCACTCGCACCCCAGGCCGTGTTAGGTCACACATAGAAGGCTTTTCTCCTAATCTTGCTCCATTTATTTTATTATACCCTTACTTCTTATGAGTTTATTTTTATACACAGGCAGTGCCCGGCTTAAGGTGTCCGACTTACGAACAACTCGTGCTTATGAACAGATTACCATGAAACCTATTATAGTAAAAATCTGAGTTCAATACAAGGGTTTGTAATAATGAAAGCATGCAGTGCTTTGGGACACTCAAAGAAATGGCTTTAATGGTTTGTCAGCTCAAGGTACAGTGCAGTACCATTACTTATATTACTGTATAATTATTATCATTATTCTGCACTGTTTTATTGTTTTTCTGACTTACCTATAAATTCCATTTAGAGACAGATTTAGGTAACAGACCTCATTCGTAACCTGGGAACTGCCTGTATTGCCCTTCCCAAAATGGCTGCCTGAAGCTCCTATAGTCCCTGGTGTGTCCTCTTGCATTTATTATTATGGTTTTGCCCTAATTATTTTAACCTAGGCCTTATAGTGCCCCCCCCAGCTGTTTACCCACCCGTCGACCTCTGACCTTTCAGGGCATGGAGGGTCAGCCTGTCGGAGCATAGGTCCCAGCGACTCACTGACATTTAATTTAATATCCCAAAGGGATTAGGTTACCCTGGCCTGTAATGTTATGTGGCAGGGTGTTGTGTTAATGTATTGCTCTGAGTCTGCAGTAATCTCGCTCCCCCTGCTGCAGACAGCATGTGTGCAGACTTGTGTTAACCCTCCGCACCCCCAGCATCTGGCGCTCCGATCCTGCTCAGATCCTCCCCCCCCCAGGGGTGGCAGAGATGGGAATGGCTATACTGGGCTGAGCTGGGAGGCGGGTGCTGGTCCCAGTGTCAGCAGGGAGCAGTAATGTGAGAGATTACCGCGGTACCAGGGAGACCAACCTGGTCACCATGCTCTGTGCGTATTTATGGCTGTGACATACGCATATGCACACACACCCACCCATACACACAAACACACACATGGTTCATATAGTCCTATCATTGTGGGGACTCGTCATTCATTTCTATGGGCATAACCCTAATCCTAACCATGATAACCCTTACCCAGCTTTAAAATTAACCAAAAGTAACCAGACAAAATACAACACTTTTGGCATTTTTACATCTTTAACATTGCAATCACAGATTTTTTATAATACTGAGTTTTCCCTTGTGGGGACCAGAGAAATGTCTCCACCAGGTCAAGATGACCGGTTTCTATCATATTTTGGGGACATTTGACACTCACAATGTAACATATAACCCTACATGACCGCAGACACATAGACACACACACACATGCGCAACACATACAGGCACTCTCCTGTGTATTTCTGGACATGATTCTGTGACATCCTTCATACTAACACCTTATTTTACACTATGACATCCTTCTGTACATACTAACACCTTATTTTACACACTGACATCCTTCTGTACATACTAACACCTTATTTTACNTGACATCCTTCTGTACATACTAACACCTTATTTTACACACTGACATCCTTCTGTACATACTAACACCTTATTTTACGCGATGACATCCTCCTATACGGACTAACACATTATTTTACACACTGACATCCTCTTGTACAGACTAACACATTATTTTACACTGACATCCTCCTATTCATACTAACACCTTATTTTACACACCGACATCCTCCTATACGGACTAACACATTATTTTACACACTGACATCCTCTTGTACAGAATAACACCTTATTTTACACACTGACATCCTCCTGTATGGACAAACAGCTCTTTTCCACTGGCAAACAGAAACCAGCCAGCACCCAAGCCGCACCGCGACCAAAGACTAGTTGCAGTGGTTTAGCCCGCTTTGGCTTCCCACTGCCGACGGGTCGGCCTGCTAATTTACTACATGCAATTTTTTCCTTTTGTTTTTTTTTACCATGTACTATATTCCACCAGCATGTCTGTGTTATGTCAGCAACGCTTGTGTAAATTTGCATTACGAATCCATTCTGTTCAGTTGTTCTATGGTACTTCTTAAGAAGTAGGTTAGAAATTGTCAAGTTTCGTGTTATCGGGAATGCATCAATACATAGCGACGCGGGATACTGCTAATAATGAATAATATATAGAATATACGTTTTTCCCTTAAGATAATCTGTGCACGTAACACCGATATACAGTAACCTTGTCAGTACGTTTACGGCTTGCATATTTTACAATGGAAAACACGGGTTGAGTTGGGTACGGCTTGGTTCCTGGTGGCAGTTAAAATGCGCTGTAAAATCTTGCAGGTTATTTCCTCCTAGACTAGGTGTATATTTACTATATTGCCAAGAGTATTGGGACATCAGCCTTTGCACACACATGAACTTTAATTACATCCTATTCTTAATACATAGGATTTAATATGGATTGGCCCACCCTTTGCAGCTATAACAGCTTCAACTCTTCTGGGAAGACTGTCCACAAGGTTTAGGAGTGTGTTTATGTAAACATTTGTCCATTCTTTCAGGAGAGCATTTGTGAGGTCAGGTACTGATGTTGGATGAGAAGGCCTGGCTCGCAGTCTCTGCTGTAATTGATCCCAAAGAAATTTTGTTGGGTTGAGGTCAGGACTCTGTGCAGGCCAGTCAAGTTCTTCCACACCAGACACGCTCATCCATGTCCTTATGGACCTTGTTTGGTTCACTGGTACGCAGTCATGTTGGTACAGGAAGAGGCGTCCCCAAACTGTTCCCACAAAATTTGGAGCATGAAATTGTCCAAAATGACTTTGAATGCTTCAGCATTATAAAAGTTCCTTTCACTTGAAATAAGGGGCCAAGCCCAACCCCTGAAAAACAACCCCACACCATAATCCCCCCTCCACCAAACTTTACACTTGGCTTAATGCAGTCAGGCAAGTACCGTTCTCCTGGCAACCGCCAAACCCAGACTCATCCAGCGGATTGCCGGACAGAGAAGCGTGATTCCTCACTCCAGAGAACACGTCACCACTGCTCTAGAGTTCAGTGGCAGTGTGCGTTACACCACTGCATCTGACGCTTTGCATTGCACTTGGTGATGTAAGGATGTAAGGCTTGGATGCAGCTGCTCGGCCATGGAAAACCCATTCCATGAAGTTTTCTATGCGCTGTTCTTGAGCTAATCTGAAGGCCACACGAAGTTTGGAGGTCTGTAGCTGTTGACTCTGCAGACAGTGGGCGACTTCTGCACACTGCGCGCCTCAGCATGCGTTGTCCCCGCTCTGTGATTTTACATGGCCTAACACTTTGTGGCTGAGTTGCTGTTGTCCCCAGTTGCTTCCACTGTGTTATAATACCACTAACAGTTGACCGTGGAATATTTAGTAGCGAGGAAATTTCATGAATGGACTTATTGCACAGGTGGCATCCTATCATGGTACCACGCTTGAATTCACTGAGACAAATTTGGAAAAAAGTTGAGCTGCGGCAAAATAACTTTTTATGCATTTTCCCTTCTAACGATAGTCACTAAGTTACATTTTGCTTTTTGGTCTCAGTGAAATTGGCACCGTCATCCTTGTAGACCTGTTGCTGCGGTGCCTAGGATTGGTTATTTTATATTTCGCTATCATAAAAAAAAAGAATGCTACCAAAGGCCAGTGTGATGTGTAACATAGTGGGGATGTGTACAGCATCAGTTCCACGCAGAAGTATGAATCAGCCTTAACACTTCATTTTAAACACTGACATTCTGTTGCACATACAGGCATTTGAATCATGTACCTCTTCAGCACACTGTTAATCTTCCTCCTTCCCTCTCT